TTGGATAAGCTAGCACCCACCTGGTATCTCTTGGGAACTCACCAAAAACAAATTCCTTTCTGCGCGACTCACCAGTGTGATCTATTTAATAATGACTTGAGGTGCCCTCAATATCTGTGGGTGAAACAGTATGGGATAGACAAAAAGACCCTGGGGCACAAGGTGATCAACATGTCTCATACCAGGTCCACAGAGTGGGCAGGTCACACAATGCTAGGAAGAGGCTGAGGCTGGGCTAGGGCCACCTTAAATAATGCATGCTGGCCTCACCACCAATCAGCCATGTGGGGAGTGGCTGTGCTCCCTGGCTTCTCCTGCTTCCAGGCAGTTGGGCAAAGAGCCCCTGCTCTCACAGCTCCATAATTCAGTGGAAGCTATTCTGGCAGTCCAGAGTATCTGCAAAGCGGCACCACATTTCAAACGAAATATTTTTTCCCCAGTCAGTTCTCTTAACTGGGTAGCTTTCATACGTATACATGGTGATCAGAAATACAACAGTATGGATGATTGTGGTCTTGATCTCCTTACATTTCATGATCTTTTCTAATTCCTTCATTGCTGCCCTTCTGATTCCCAGTCTTCTTCTGATTTCTTGGCTGCACTCTTCATTAGAATTGATGATCAAGCCATAGGATGCAAAATTTATAACTGTTTCAATTTCTTCATTGCCAGCATTAAAGTTGAGCATTTCTTCTGTAGGGATGATTTTTGTCTTCTTAACATTCAACTGCAGTCCTGCTTTGGCACTTTCTTCTTTTGTTTTCCATAACAGTCATATCAAGTCATTGCTGTTTTCTGCCAGTAAGAAGGTGTCATCTGCATATATTTCTTTTCATATCCTTAAAATGAGAACAAACAACATGAAATATAAAAGAAGTCCCCTTAGTGTCCCCAGTCAGTAGCTTGACTTGCCCAAATGTGCCCACTTGTTGTCTAAAAAACAAGTACACTTGTTGTCCACAAGTATGCTGCACATTTGGCACCCACTCACTCTGAAACAGATACGGGCACTCCCAGCAGGAGGTTAAAAACCTTCTGCAATTAAAGTCTGTCAGGAAGCATTAAAATAAAATAAAAGAAGAAAACATCAATGGTGGGTGGGAGGCAGTCAAGGAGAGGCTACTGCAGTGGATCCTGTGACATTTTAAAGATCTTTCTATGATATTAAAAAGAAAAGCTGAAGAGCTTCTTTCTCTGCTTCCTGTCAAAAAGTATGCAGAGCTACAAATGCTGGTTGCCATGCAACTGCAAGTATGAATGAAAACCTGGTTCCATCAGTCGGCCAGTGGACTGAAAGCTGATAGACTATATATCAATGAAAGTTAGAACTGTGCAGGTTGCAGGCTGCCCACCAAGGCCTCTAGGATCCCCACTGACCTGACCAAAGATGTACAATTGCTGGTTACAACTCCAGAAACTGCCAAGAGGCAGAATTCACCATTTAATGTTTAATGGCCCCCTTACTTAGGCCCCAAATGAAAAGGGGGGACTTTTTTGGATACTCCCTCCTAGATGTTTAACCGTTGCCCACTATTCGAATAAATACATTGGTTTGCATGTTTTTTTTTAAATGCAACTTTTGGCCTGCTGCCTTGAGAAACATGGGGCATACATCTTTAAAATAAATAAGATAAATAGAGCAGGAGTATAAAGTGAATCATTACTGATACTAGAAGCTAGTATCAGTCATGCTACACTAAGGCATGCTACACTTGGGTCATGGAGGCCTTATCTAATGCTACCCAACCAAGGCAGCATGGGCTAGTGTCTGCCCAGCACACCTTTGAAGGGAAGATAGACGAGACAACCACAGAAGCCTAGCCTGGTACTGTATTCAAAACCAGAGTGAAGTTGTTTGTGCTAGGTAGGAAGCAGAAGATGAGTATTCCACCATTACCTGAAATGTAGGGGTCTGTACGTGTATTGACATGTTCCATGTCTTCATTTCAGATTGATGCCTGAGAGATACTGTTTTGTGGTGTTGTTAAGACTGTTATATTTTTCCTTTTTATACTTCTATTATATGTTATTTTTTCATTTGGTAATTGTTTAAAAAGTGAGATGGAATATATTTAATTAACATGAACAAAGAAATAAATTATACCTTGTCTGTGGACTGTCTGTTCTGTTCTTTAATAAATTACTAGTTTGATCAACATTTAACGAATAACAATTTTGAACGTATAGGAGGGCTTTAAAAGGCGTTTAGATAAATTCTTGGGTGTATAAAGCTATAACAGTTACAGTACTAGGTGTAATGATTGCATATTGCATCCTGAACTAGAGACAATGTGCTTGTGAATATCAGTTGCTGAGAAATCACAAAAGAAGAGGGCTTGACTCTGTGACCATGTGATAGGTGGGAGCTCATATTCTCACGGGACAACAGACCCCATCTGTTTGGTCACTGTGAGAAACACAGTACTGTGTTTGGTTAGTCTTTGGTTGGATCCAACAAGCCTCTTCCTGTCCTCAATGAAACTTGCCCATAAGAAACACATTTAAGCTTGCCTTCTACCCAGTGAAGTCAAAAACATTTGAAAGTGCTTAACTTTCTTGAGAAGGTGACCAAGCACAGTGGGTTGCCAGATTTTGCTTTCACTCTGTCAAGCTTAAGTTCACTGGCTGCTTTTACAAGGCAGTGGTGATCAATAACACCCTTCTCCTCTTCTGCTCTGTGCCTAACTATAGCAAACTCACTGCTTGTCTCCCAACCAATAAATGAAAAATCAAGAAAAATAAAATCACATTCCAGTAGCTCACTGTCAATTTGATCTAACCTCGAAGACAAAAGACTCTCTATTATTTATGGGTCAACATTCAGGGGATTTTTAAAATGTGTTTGCAAGATTGTAGCTTTTTTCAGCTCCAGTGAGAAGACATTGAGAAGTTTTAGGTATTTCTTCCTAGCATATACATTTTTTTCACTTTTACCTGACAGAGACTAAGATCAGTATCTCTAGGCTGGGAGGCTTTGTGCAGATGAAAACGACAAGGTTGTTGTATTGCCTTTTTGACAGCACTGTCAATTAGTGTGCAGACGGTACACTTTTCTTACAATGGCCCACCAACCCGTCTGCATTCTTTCTCTCTGGCTAAGGAGATCTTGAGTTTTCTTCCACTTTAGATTAGAGACTTTGCAGATATGACAAGTTAACGTTTTATTAACTGAGACTCCTTGCTACACCACGGAACCCACTCCCAAAACAGAAGACTGTTTCATTTCCTTCTCTGGATAAACAATAGCCTTATTCATTCATTATTAAGTCAGGTATGTTTACCCTATGTAGAGTGGATCACTCCAACCTCACCTCCTTTATTTTCAGTTTTGTTTTCAGACCTTTCACTCTTTCCCCACAGATGGAGAGAGTGAGGTCTGAAGAGCAGATTTACTGCTATTCGTGGGGGCTTTCCATGTGAATCAGTGCCCTGATTCACATGAGGAGTCCTCAAAGATAGCAAAGGCTCTATTCTTCAAACTCATTGCTCTCCACTTAAAGGCCAGTGGCAAAACCAAAATACAGAACAGGAGGAGCCAGAGAGCTTCTAACTACATGTGGTAATTGTACCTGTTTTAATAATGGCTGAACAAAGCTAATATGATTGAAGCCAGTGATTTGGCCCCATCTTTGATTGCCTTACCCTCTTTGGTTGTTCTCTCTATCTCAGTTGTGATAGGAGAATATTCAGTACAGTCTGTACCACTTGCCATAACTAAGAAACCAGGAGGAAATCAAATCACCCACAGCAGCATCATTATGTCTTAAGAAGAATGGAAGTTGCCTAGAATATTTCAGGCACTGCCAATTTCCAGTTGTCTAGTGGATACACATACCCATTCCTGGACTTTGGAGGGATGCACCCACTTCAGTGCTCCCCACTCCCAAAAGTACATTTATTTATGCTTTTAACTGGAAAAATTTCCTATATCTAGTGACCAATATTAGTTAAGTTTAAAAACTGTGGCTTTGAGAACTCCATGCTAAGGCCATTTGTTATACAAATATCTTGTGACCACATACATACTACAATTTGCACAGCCTTGTGATAGTTCGAACAGATAGATTATATGTAGATTTGGAAGGATAAATGTTGGGAGTGAGGAATAAATACTTGATAGTATGGCCATGGCACCTAGAATGTCCATCTCCCTTTCCCAATTATGTTTCTATCATGTGGCAGGTACAGATGCTTCCATCTAATGTTAGCATTTAAAAGTGGACTTGGAATACGTTACCCATCTTGCTTCCCATTAGTCTCCCTGGAAGGGCTGGCTGAGGTGCTCAATGCTTATACATGTCCCAGTTTTTCACCTACTCTAAAGCAATCATACTGGACTGCAGTAGCAGCATGCAATAAACTGCTGACAGAGAAAGCTCTTCTAATTCCAGCATATTTGTTGCGGTATAACTACCATATTTTTCCATGTATAAGACTATACTTTTGTCTAAAATCTTTAGATTAAAAATTGAGGGTCATCTTATACCCTTTTATGTTGTTAGCTGCCCAGAGTAGTCAGTTGACTAAATGGGCGAGATATAAATTCAATCAATCAATAAATAAACGGAAGTAAGCTGATGAGAAAAAAACAAGTGAGGAGAAAGTAGGGATCAAAGTGATCTTTCAGGGCTTTGATCCTTTTTACCCTACATTTGCTAAGCCCCACTTAGATTTCTTAATTTTGGGTTAGAAAAGTGGGAGGTATCTTATACATTGGGGCATCTTATACACAGAAAAATATGGTATTTGGAGAGCCACAGTTGAAGATTCAAGACCCAAAGCTGCAGTAAGAACATTTGTTTTGAACACATACCTGGATTATTTATTGAGTGTCTGCTTTATGAATTTTTGGTCAGATTCTTTTAAAGGTGAGAGTGGCTCACAAGGCAACCGCATGTTTGCTGTCATAGTGAAAAGGTTAAAAAGGAAAAAACCTAAGCAAGAGAAAGTTGCTGGCAGATTATGAGAATGTATTTTTATCTTGATTTTTCCCCCCATAGTTGTACAGTTCAGTGGAGTTTGGAAGAAGATGGCTGCTTCTTCAGGAAATGGTCACACCGAACAGATTTTACTGGTAAGAGACAAGTCCTTTCAAATTTTGCCTTTTTTTAAAAGAATAAACACATTTTTCGAAGCGCACTTAATTTACAGATTATATATTCTTCTGTCATGATTTCAGAATACTATTTTAAATGAATGGTATCATTATTTGTACCTTTGTTAATTACACCTTTTTAAATTTATGAATTGCCTATTATTATCAGTACCTCTGTGTAGTTCTGTGTACCTTGTTTGAAAATCCCATGTCCTATCTTTCTTTGATTCATTTTAAACCTATGAATGTATCAGTTCTCTGAATGTCAAGCAATCTATCAATTATCAGTTCAAAACCCTGCTGATATTCAGTTAAGTTGTCTTTATCATGCAGGCATATTATACATTCTTCCTCTCCTGCTATGGACAAAGCCTCACATGATGTTTATCAGAAGCATCCCATGGTGAGGCTCATTGCTAACTTAAAAGTTCCTCAGCATAGGCAAAAGCTTCCAAAACGGATAATTAATTGGAGATTGGTTTACTTCCAAGTTGGTAGAAATCAGACTTCATGTATCCAGGGTCTTCTCTGAATTCTTTAAGAATGAAAGGTATCTTCAGAAGATTTCTGTGTATGTCTTAGAAATATCCTGAGCTATGTTTCCAGAATATCAAGCTGTATAGCTTAACTGCCTTTTGACCCAGGCCTCTGCCCTCACTTAATTATTGCTTCGGCACTTTTTGGCTTATGAATACATGCATGCTACTTGTTATTTTCCAAACAAAAATCTGCAAATCCAACTGTTACAGAAAATATTGGCAACACTGAACCCAGTCTGTTGGGTTGCCTTTAAAAAATAATTTTAAAAAACATAGATTTTTTTTTTCAAAAAGTTGTTTCTCCACCATTTTCAGCTGCTTTTCTACAGCTCTCAAGGTACCTGTAGGACATAAAAGCATTAAAACAATTTGCTGATTCATCCTGCAAAACTAAAGTATCCCACTTAGAGACAATTCGGCTTTCCAGAGGTGATAGACATTCTGCATCCCTGAGTTTTTTGCTTCATTAGAAATGAGTTGTTGGCATTAAAATCTATATATGTTTTTCTCAAAGTGCTTATATTTCCACGCTGGCACCTGCAGCCGTAAGTCCTTTGGGAGGAATAGTGATGATACTGAAAGGGAGGGGATGAGGAAGGTAAACAGACAGAAAACTGCAGAAGAGAGGAGACATCAATATGTTCCTATTTACATAAATAGATAGAACCATCACTGTCCATGAAGATCCCATGAAACCTTCTGTCTGCATATATTTTAGGTGCTGCTGCTTTCAACTGTGCCTTTTTTTAAAAAAAAAAATGTCTCTGTCACTTTATAACTGTTCAGTGTTCAATTAATGACTCACCATTTCCAGCATTCTTGAGATGGGAAGACAATTTAAGTAAACAAAGATGTTTGAATAAGGAAATAAAAACATACATACATATCAATGTAGATTGAATTCCTAAGTATCACTGTATAGCCTGAGACACATCTGCATTCTGATACGAACTTGCACATCAGATCTGCAGCACATGAACTCTGCCCCTACATATCCATACTTCTCCATCATGCTGGGGAGGTCTGCCAAATTGTGTGCATGAGCAGAACTTGACTGGACAATCCCTATTAATTTTTAATTTTTTTACATTTCCTACCATCATGCTTTAAGTACTTGGAGATATTTATAACTTTGCTGATGATGAATCTTCAGCTTTGGATTTGTGGATTCCACCACCACCACCTTCTGGATATATTTTCTAAATGAAGAGTTCTAAGCAACAGAGCACCTGAATATGCAATGTACTTTGCAAGTGGCTACTAGTAAAAGCCCCTCAGGTTGGAAGGCGTCCAGCATGCTACTGAGGAAGAGTGGAGGACAAGGACAAGTAGCTCCAGACCTAATTAAGTGGATGGGCCAAAAATTCAAAATGATGTCCAGCTGTGGATGCACCTGGAAGTGAAAGGAAAGTCTGATGCTGGAAAGAAAAATGATGTATAAGAATGTGGAATGTAAGATCTATGAACCTTGGTAAGTTGGATGTGGTCAAACAAGAGATGGCAAGAATAAACATTGACATCTTGGGTGTCAGTGAACTAAAATGGACAGGAATGGGTAAATTCAATTCAGACAATTATCATATCTACTTCTGTGGCCAAGAATCCCATAGAAGAAATGGAGTAGCCATCATAGTCAACAAAAGAGTGGGAAAAGTTGTACTGGGATACAATCTCAAAAATGATAGAATGATTTCAATACGAATCCGAGGCAGATCTTTCAACATCACAGTAATCCAAGTTTATGCCCCAACCACCAATGCTGAAGAGGCTGAAACTGACCAATTCTATGAAGACTTACACCTTCTAGAACTGACACCAACAAAGATGTTCTTCTCATTACAGGGGACTGGAATGCTAAAGTAGGAAGTCAAGAGATAAAAGAAACAACAGGTAAGTTTGGCTTTGGAGTTCAAAATGAATCAGGGCAAAGGCTAATAGAGTTTTGTCAAGAGAACAAGCTGGTCATCACACTCTTTTTCAACAACACAAGAGGCAACTCTATACATGAGCATCACCAGATGGGCAATATCGGAACCAGATTGATTATATTCTCTGCAGCCAAAGATGGAGAAGTTCTATACAGTCAGCAAAAACAAGACCTGGAGATGATTGTGGCTCTGATCATCAGCTTCTTATAGCAAAATTCACGCTTAAACTGAAGAAAGTGGGGAAAACCACTGGGCTAGTCAGGTATAATCTAGACCAAATCCCTTATGAATACACAGTGGAAGTGAAGAACAGATTTAAGGAACTAGATTTGGTGGACAGAGTGCCTGAAGAACTATGGATGGAGGCTCATAACATTGTACAGGAGACAACAACAAAAACAATCCCAAAGAAAAGCAAAGTGGCTGTCCAATGAGACCTTACAAATAGCAGAGAAGAGAAGGGAAACAAAATGCAAGGGGGATAGGGAAAATTACAGAAAAATGAATGCAGACTTCCAAAGAACAGCAAGGAGAGACAAGAGGGGCTTCTTAAGTGAACAGTGCAAAGAAATAGAGGAAAATAATAGAAAGGGAAAAACCAGATATCTGTTCAAGAAAACTGGATATAGTAAAGGAATGTTTTTAGCAAATATGGACATGATTAAGGACAAAAATGGGAGGGACTTCACAGAAGCAGAAGACATCAAGAAGAGGTGGCAAGAATACACAGGGGAATTATACAAGAAACATCTAGATGTCCTGGAGAACCCGGATAGTGTGGTTGCTGACCTTGAGCCAGACATCCTGGAGAGCAAAGTCAAGTGAGCCTTAGAATGCATGGCTAACAACAAGGACAGTGGAGATGATGGCATTCCAGTTGAACTATCTAAAATCTTCAAAGCTGGTGCTGTTAAGGTGCTACACTCAATATGCCAGAAAGGCTGGAAAATTCAGCAGTGGTCAGAGGGTTGGAAAAGATCAGTCTACATCCCAATCCCAAAGAAGGGCAGTGCCAAAGATTGCTCCAACTACCTTATAATTGCACTCATTTCACACATTATTAAGGTTATGCTCAAAATCCTACAAGACAGGCTTCAGCAGTATGTGGACCAAGGACTCCTAGAAATACAAGCTGGATTTTGAAGGGGCAGAGGAACTAGAGACCAAATTTATTGGTGTAAATTAGCAGAGTTTTGTCCTAGTTCAGGCAGTCCAGTTGAATCACACAAAGACAGCTTCTTCCAACACCAAGTATATTTACAATATATACAGATGTTTACAAACCAGCAGCATGACAGCATGACATTCATCAGAAGAGATCCTACATCTTCTGCATGTCCACACAATTATACACATGGACATTTACATATAGCCAATCAATAAGGACATTGCATCACCCCAGACACTACTTCATTTAATACACATACTGCATGACTCAACATTTTGCACACCTGTCAAATATGGCTGCTGATTATCATGGACTGTGTTCTGCCTCAGTGTGGAAATTATCCTTGCCAAAATTGCTAACATTGACTAGATTATGGAGAAAGCCAGAGAGTTCCAGAAAAAACATCTACTTCTGCTTCATTGACTATGCAAAGCCTTTGACTGTCTGGACCACAGCAAACTATGGCAAGTTCTTAAAGAAATGGGAGTGC